CATCAAAAATAAAGATGACGGGGGAACAGCAAATTATCTTATATTAAAAAACATTAGCTTGGGGCCAGGGAGATAGCTCAGCAGTCTAAGTGCCTACCTGGCATGTGCAAGGACCCAGGGTTTGATCCCTTAAACTGCATGCTGTGCCAGCCCCACATGGAGCTGACCAACAAAACTGAGTGTGGTAGCATAAACCTATAATCCCAACACTGGGGAGGCTGAAACAGAAGGATCACTAGAAGTCCAAGCTGTGTAGCAAGACCCTGCACCAAATACATAAATAAATCTTACAAATAAATAAATAAAAAATATTAATTTAAAAATGGAGAATGATAGGCCTAGAAAATTACTGTCCTATAAAAAGTCATACCAGGGGTTTAGCTCAGTCAGTGGCACAGGACCTGCCAGGCAAGTGTGAGGTCCTGAGTTCAATTCCTGGTTCCAAAACTAGCAGCAGTTTTTATTATACAGAAATCTGAAAGATAATCAAGTGTGCAAATTTATGAGCATCTATGTTAAGACAGACACCATGTCTTGGGTACAAAGTGGTGAGGACAGAGGCTCACCCTATGAAGTGTTCTTGTCAGAAATGTTCAACCTGACTCAAATGAGGTAACAATCTGAGGAACTAACCACAAGAAAACAATCTGAACATTCTCTACAATTGACCTTGAGTCTTCACAAATACCAATGTTAGGACTGCAGTGAATATCTCAGTAGTAGAGTGTTTACCTATTATGAATGAAACACACACACACACCCCTCAGTGTTTTTTTGTTTTTTTTTTTAGTGGAGCCAGGGACTGAACTCAGGCCCAACTGCACTATCTCCCCAGCCCCTCTCACAGTGTCTTGCAAAACAATAAAATTAAAATATATGGGCCATTGAGATAGCTCAGTGGACTAAGCGCCTGCCTAGGCAAACACAGGGACCGGGGTTTGATCCCTGGCACCACATGCCACACCAAACTGGCCTATGTGGTGGCACAGCACTGAGGAGGCTGAAAACGGGAGGATCACTGAGTCCAAGCTGTGTAGTGAGATCCTGTACCAAACAAATACATTAAAAAAAATTTAAAAAGTCCAGGAAATTGTGCCAGATTAAAGAGGATTAAACAGACCCAGCATTAATTCAATGTGCAATTTTTAGATTGGCAACAAAATGACATCATTGGCATGGCTATTGAAATTAGAACACGAGCTGTACTTTAGATAGTATTGTACCAATGCTACATTTCCCAAGCATTATAACTGTAGGAAGGGTAGGCAGTAGGACACCCCTGTGTTACTCACACTGTTGTTGCTACAGTTCATGTCTAGATGTCCACTCAAAGGCTCATGAAGTCAGGGGTTGGACTTTTTGGAGGTGGCTGAATCTAGAGTTTGTCATTGACAATGTGAGTAATAAATTAGCCCAAATGCATGCATAAAATAAAAAGAAACATGAAGAGCCTTGTCCTCTCTCTCTTACTGTGTGTGCTATCTTTTGCCACCATGAACTTTTGCTGCCCTGCCATGTGCCATCCTGCCCAGAAGCCAGGAAATTATGGACTGAAATCTCTGCAAACTATGATCTAAATAAACATTTCCCCCTTTAACTTTGGGTATCAAGTACTTTATCTCAGCAATGAAGAATGTAACTAAGTAATATTTAGAAATGAAAGTTATAAAGTCTGCAAATATTTTTTTGCTAATTCAAGAAAAATTAAGAAAAAGTGGCAAAATGTTAAAAATTGGTGAATCTACATGATGGGTAATTAATTGGGTGTTTACTGTTTTTTCTGCAAATCATCTCTAGGGGGGTGGTCTGTGAAGTTCAAAATAAAAAGTGTAGCATGGCAACAGAATGAGACAAGCAACACTGGGAGAAAATATTTACAAAACAACTATCAAATAAAGGACTGTTACCAAAAATGTACAATGTACCACCCCACCCTGGGGGCATTGAGGCTACGATTGAGACTGGGCATGGTGGCGCATGCCTGTAATCCCAGCACGTGTAAGGCTGAAAAACAGGGAGTATCACAAGTCTGATCTGTGTAGTAAGACACTATAGACCCTGTACTAAATACATAAAAAAAGGTATGATGAACCTTAAAAACTCATTAACGATTCACCAATTTTAACTTCAGCAAAAATGTTTGAACAGACACTTCACCAAGGAAATATAAATGGCAAATAAGCATAGGATGTTCCATATGTCTTTAGGGAATTGCAAATTAAAAACATAAAATACCAGTATTAGAATGGCCTAAATCCAAAACACCTATGACAGAACAATAGTAAATTTCATTCATTATTGGTGGGAATACAAGATACAGCCACTCTGAAGGACTGTCCATATGAAATCATTTTCTAACTACACACTCTGAAAAGGCAAAACTATGAAGACAGTAAAAAGATCAGTAAAAAAAGATCACCAAGATTAGAGGGGTGTGGTGGGTTAACTGATGGCCAACTTGTAACACCCCACCTGAACTCAGTCAGCATAGTTCTCGGTGTGGAAGGCCTACCTGAGGATAACAGGAGGGAAAGATGGTATGCTGTTGATGCTTCTGAAGAAGTCTGTTATGCTGGCTTTTCTGATATGAACTCAGTTGTTCTCATCATCAGAGAGGCTCTAGACTTTGCTGTTACTGATGGCACTGGTCCTTACTTTGAGTGTCACTTCCTGGTTCCAGTGCAGATCTCTCAGCCTGGTGGTACAGATCCTTCATCCCTGGTGCAGACTTACTTTCTAGCTTCTACCACTGACCTTTAGGCCATCTCAGTGCAGATCCATGATTGACTTACATAAGACACTGTTGTGGGCTCTAGGTCTTCAGCTGGACTCACATAAGACACTGTGATGGGATCCAGGCCCTCAGCTGGATTCTTTGGGTCTATAGTGTATGGACAATTCTCTGGTACTCTTTTGCTTTTGACTCTTTGGGTGAATACTATAATACAATCTTATAAATTGTGTCCTGTACTAAATCCTTTCCCATAAAAACCCTGATCACAACAAAACTGATACAAGGAGGGTGGGATCATTGCTGTGATATTGCCTGCCCATGTGACTTAAAAGCCTTTGAAATTAATTTGGAAAGTCTGAGATTGACTCTGAAGAGGCAGCCCCTATATGCTATAAGCTATATAGGAAATGTTGGCCTGAGTCTGGAAAACCAGAGTACTAATGGAAACACTGCTGATTAGAATGAGGCTCAGGAGGCTTCTACTAAGCACTGCAATAGCTGCTAGATCGCAGGTGGTGTACCTTGCACTTTGGAATGAAGTTGGTCTGCATTTTGCTTGTGTTTAGAGATACTGCCTGTGTGGCAGAAAAATTTCAATGCAGTATACTGTTGGGAAGGTGTCATGGTTACCACTGAGGGCTTTCAGACAGATCTGTTTGAAAACAAGAGCAAAGAGCCAGAAAGATGATCTGAAGAATTTGGTCAGATGGAAGGCTCCAGTGGAGCTGTGTATTATAAGGATAAACAGAGGACACAGGGTTGTCTTTCATTAGAAGGGAATAGTGTATTTGAAATGCAGGAGATCCCTTGGGATGTCTTTTAGTATTGCCATGCCCCATTGTTAGAACTTAATGGGAAGCAAGGATTATGACTGATTTTACTGTAGATTTTACACGTTTGTAATCAGGTTAGTCAAAGTATTGTGGTTTTTCCCTTCAATTTTGATCCCTCTTTGAATATTCTGCTTTCAGTGTGCAAATGAGTGCAATAAGAATTATACATACATAATTATTATGTTACTGTAAGTCTGAATAAGCCAAAACATGTTAACTTTTCACAAATCTGCCACTGGAGACTATAGGTTAAGGAAATATGTCTGGTGATCAAAGTTGACAAGAGGTAGATAGTAATGGTTGATTGACTGAGTTAATTTGAGAAATTTAGAAGCTTAAATAAGTTGGCCTGGGCTGAGCACTGGCTTGGGGACAGGCATGCAACAAGGTGTCAAAGGACCTACCCTAGGGTGGCTGTTTGCACTTAGTGTGTAGAAGACCCTCTCTAGGGCAGCTCATCACCTGGACAGTATAAAGCTGAATGAGGAAGGATGGACTTGCTTCTGTTCTTTGGAGAAGCTCCAGTCTTTGCCTTCAGTTTGGACATCATCTCCTGGCTCCTAGAGAAGATTTGTTGGATTCTGCCTCAGATTCTTCAGCCTTGTGGTATAGATTCTTCAACCTTCCGTCACAGACCAATGATTGTTTTTTTTTTCCCCCCCAATATGCTCTTAAGAAGATTCTGCAGTGACCTCCAGACCTTGGGCTGAAATCTTCAGCCTTCAGTGTGGACATCCTCTGTGTGCTTCCTCATCTAACTCTTTAGCTGACCATTATAAACCAGTCTTGTAATTTCTTACACATTTGTATATCTGATAATACCTCTCTCTAGCAAAATTGGTGGCTTGTTGAAATTAAGAGCAAAGAGCAGGCAAGTGATACAAAGGGCAAAGGAATGAAGAGCACAGAGGATTCTTAATGGAGTAAAACAAATCCACATGGCACTGTAATGGTGGACACACGTTGTCATGCATTTGCCCAAACTCACAGAACACACATTATGTGTAAATGTTAAGGTACTCTATAGTCTTTGGGTAATAATGTCAATATAGGTTCACCAATTTTAACAGAAGTACCACTCTGGTGTCTGATGATGTTTTGCTGTAAACCTAAAACTGTTTGAAAAATAAAGTCCATTTACAAAAGACACTGAGGTAGGGTAGGGGCATGACCAGGCATGTCTACACTTGACTGAACCAACTCCTCTTGCTCTACTCTGTAGCCACTGGAGCATCATTTTATTTCATGGGGTGTAGTTCCTATGAGTCTTCTCTTCAAATAAATAAAAAAAGAAAACTGAGAAGTGTCTATGTTCAAGAGTGAAAAATGCAGTTAACCAGCCTTGATTTTGATTCTCTGGGAATCAAAACCTCATGCCTTGTTTCTTGGCTCTTTCTTCCTTTACCCAGGGAAAAAACATCATTTAGAAGTACCTGTGGAAGTCACCCAGGTCTTCTGCACTGATAAAATCATCTAAGTTCAGAGTCAAGTCTGTCACTTGCTGTGAGCCATATTCCTAGAAAAATGAAAATAGAAAATGAGAGATGGGGGATACTTCTGGGCTGAGCACAAGGGTGGGAAGAACAACAGTATACACCTTAAAGAAACTCATGTTCATAAGAGAAATACATTAGGGCTCTTTGTAATGTGTGAAATACTTTTCTGATGCTTAGGGACTTTTCTGATTTAGTAATACTTCCTTTGACACACCAGAAATCTAATTCCTGGGCTGGTCACTGGCCTGGGGACAGATGTTCAACAAAGTGTAAAACAGATGCACAACAGTGCTGCAGCAACATGGAGAAGCAAGCCCAGCAACGAAGAACAATCTTGTTAATGAGGGTAGCAGCAGAAGCTGCAGGCATCACAGTATCAGTGGCTGAGGAGAAGGGACACTAGGCTGGCAATACTGGACAGTACCCAGGGCTGAGAGGGTAGGAAGCAGCAACATCTTCCAAGGTTTGGGTCACTGCTCCTGGGAACCCAGGCTTGAACCTGTTCCATTCAGTGAGCTGTCTCAGTTCTTTTAATAAACACTTCCATTTAAACTAACCTAAATGGGGCTGGGGAGATGGCTCAGTGGAATAAGTGCTTCCCAGGCAAGCACAAGGGCCTGAGTTCAATCCCCAGTTCCGCAAAAAAAAAAATAAATAAATAAATAAATAAATAAACTAACCTAAAGGACTTTCACTGTATGCAACTAAGAATCCCATGACATAAGATCTAAAAATGTTCATCTATAAAAGAAGGAATAATGGAATATAATAATCAAAACAAATGAGATATAATCTCTAAGTGCTTCCACATAGAGATGTCCACATTGAGTGAAACAAGTGAAGTGTTGTCCAATACATACAGCAGGATACTTTGTAACACACACAGAAAACCAAAACATAACAAAAAGAAATTCCTTGTCCTCAAGGTGCTTTTAATTCAGTGGCAAAATACAAATGTGCAAGATGGCTTGGATTAATGGACTGTGTATTTCTGCTGGTCTATAGAAAGGATTAGTTAATGCTTGCTTTTTTTCTGTCTCAATTTCTTATAACTTTTGTTGTCAACTTTGCATGCATATATCTGATAATCTAAACAACTAAATTGAAGATAACACTATGCAATACAACAAATACTGTCAAATTCATACTATTTTGTTTAGTGAAATTCTGTATCATCTCAAATTTTTTATCACTATTTTGTATGATCTTTATTTTTTCCCATAATTTTATTGAGAAATAAATAGCAATGAGACAGTTTCAAATCAAATTGGTAGGACAGTTCCAATAATTAAAACATTGCATACTGCCTTCCTAGTGGTTATTTGTTGTACAAGATGCAGACATGATATCCTATTTACAAACACTATTAGAACAACTCCCTCTGTTCCTTGAATTAAGAGAATGTAGCTATATATCCATCCTAACCATTTTGAATACACAAATACAAAATGGACATTCATCTATATCTCCTTTTCTTGTTTAGTTCCATCATTTAAATATTATAGGTATGTGAACTTAGCAAAATATTCCAAAATAGTCCAGTAGTCCATAATAGTACTGGGTCTTCCACTTGACTGGCAATGTCAGAAGTTGTTGACCTGAGTCCCCTACAGCTCAACATAACAACATGGCTTTATTTCTTGTAATTCATTTTTATACTTTTCTGCTGGATGGTTAAGACCAAGGTAAAGCAGGACCTATGCAACAAGAGTTGTAGCTTTTGGATCTGATAAGGTCAGTGAAATCCCCTCAGGATTTATCCTGAGACCCTGTACAGATTGTAGATCCTTTGTCAGTGTCAGCCATGTGGATGAGTCACGGCCATTTCTTAGCCAATCTGCTGTCTGTGAAAGCCTGAGAGAATGTTTTCTCTCCATGTGACTCTCCTTAGGCACACTCTACATCATCAATCGCTTTCCTCTTTGGCCCCATAATCTCCTTGGTCAGAAAATTTGGGACACAACTGAGTTACATGATGTCACAGTACAAGTTCTCATATGTCCTGAGTCTTAATTGACCTTGGAAGGCTAGGGCCAAAATGTTGGCTTTCCTTGTGGCCCTCATTTTTCTCTAATTTTTGGTCTGCAAACTTAGGTTGTTAACCCTCCAGAAGAGAAGCTTATTGTTATTACCATATAACCTAGGCTGTTGAGCTTAACCTCACTGTCTGTCTGAATATCAAACATCTTAGGCACAACATATGATCTTTATTTAAAAAAATAGTAAAGCAGAGCAGAAATAAATACAAGGTGTGATCACAATATACAGTGAATGTTTAAGTAAAAAAAAAAATTATTATAGTAAAAAACACATAGCCATTAACCTCCTCAAAATATTCCCTTTAAAGGGTCTGCCAGATAGCACAGTGGACTAAAGCAACTGTTTAGGCAGAGCTCAGAGGGTAGGTTTGATCCCTGGCACACGCTGAGACCACAACTGAGACTGGGCGTGGTGGTGTGCGCCTGTAATTCCAGCACTGGGGAGGCTGAAAACAGGAGAATCACTATGAGTCCAAGACCCTGTATCCCCTGTACTAGATGCAAAAAACAAACAAACAAACAAACAAACAAACAAAAAAAAATCCCTGTCATGTCAAACACACTTATCTCATGTTCTTTCCACTTTCTGAAGCAGTTTTAGTTCTCTTTGGTAAGTGGGTTTTTTGTTGTTGTTGTTGTTGTTTTAAATGTATTTAGTACAGGGTCCACAGGGTCTCATTACACAGATTGGACTCATACTGATCCTCCTGTTTTCGGCCTCCCAAGCACTGAGATTACAGGTGTACGCCCGCAGGCCCAGTCTCAATAACTGTCTCAGCACTCCCTGGGGGCAGGGCCAGCACGGCAAACCAGGGATTGAACCCTAGTCCCTGTGCCTTCCTAAGCAGTCATGTTAGTCTGCTGAGATATCTGGCCAGCCTTGTAAATGTTTTTATGACATCTGATTAAAAAATGTAGTAAATTGTGCTGCTGAATGCCATACAACGAAAAGGCGAGCTAGTAAGTATATGGAGTTTCCTCATCTATCTTCTTCTTCACTAGATATGGCACTGTATGACTTTTGGCTCATCTCCAAAGTCAAAACAATTGTGAAAGGTAAAAATTTTGAACTGATACAGGGAACAGGCAGCCATGACAGTGTAACTAAAGATACTCATAAAAGAGGATTTTCACAACTACCTCAGAAAGTCACAAGAATGAAGTGTGTTTGACATGAAGGGGAATATTTTGTGATGGATTAGTAACAATGGGTTTTTACTATAACAACTTTTTTTTTAAACTTAAATATTCACTACTTTTTTTAGTCACACTGTGTACATAATTATAAGATGTGAAAATACCAGGAAGAAAAATAAAATGGTGGAGAGTACAGTTTAGATTTTTCTGGCAAATGGAAGTAAACAGATCTGAGCTTCTGAGTAAGTACAAAAAAGAGAAGGTGTCTTGCAGGTTTGAAAGAATGGGTTGTGTGTATGTGTACGTGCACATGTGTGATGGCAGACTAGGGTAGGGAGTTCCAGCATAAGAAGCACAACACATAAAGGCTCCAAAGCAGCAAAATCTCAGCCTGTTAAAGAAACTACAAATAGCTGCCTGGGGCTACAATAAGCATTTTACGCCTGCATTGTAATATTACTTAGCCATTCCCCTGTGGGTGGAAGTCCCTCCTTCATCAGAGGCACTAAACATCTTCACAAAGTTTTTCGATATGTAAGGTTCTCAATTCAGGACAAAGTACCAGAAGAGAAATCACTGGATACAGATCTGGATCCACACTGTTAAATGGGTTTCAAAGCAGTTATCCTCAATAGACCCTTGGGTCTAAAAAACTCACCAGCACATTGATGATCATGCTGTTCTCCACTGGGATAACTTTCATCAGGAGCTTTCGGGACCCATCCTTGGACTCATAACGAAGGACATACAGGTCTTTATTATTACTCCACCCAGCTGGTAGCAGTTCTGACTTCTTATCACTGGGACCTGGCTGAGAAGACATAAGGTTGAAAGGAGAAGGATCATAACCTGAGAAGTAGAGCTACAAAGGACCTTACAGATAATCTAACCCCACTTCTCAATGTATAAGTGAGATTATGAAGGTAAAGAGAAGTGACCTGTTCAACGTGATACAGCAGTTTACAGTTCTAGAACCCAGGTCTCTGAAATGTTCACCCCATCTGGTTGCATTTATGACACAATTGGACCCTGCCAAAAATCTGCAGTTTTGGCTTAATAACCCTTTCCATTCCCTTGCCAAAAATAAAGTCAGTTATCTCAAGGGATAGTATGAACTTCTACACCAGTAGATTTTCAAAGCTTGGACCTTGGTCCATTTGCAATAGGATCACCAAAATTTCGACTAAAACCACAGACCTGAATGTAGCCCCCACCAACTAACTTCAATAGTGTAACAAAAATTATGAACAATTTTCATATATATTCAAAATGCAGCCTAGTGGAGATCTATAGCTATTACCAACTTAGAAAACAACATCATTAGTCACTGAATGTTCTCATGAGTAGCAAAACCCAACCAACATCCCTCTCTCCCCCTAACCAATTACAACTATTCTATTTTTTGAAACTTTTTTTACTTTTCCTGTAAGTTGTTTTACTATGCCAGCAATGATAAAAATACACCGCTTCAAATGGTCCTGAATTTTATATAAATGGCATGAGTTCTGCCAATTGCCTGTTATATTCAAGGGTTTCTTTTTCTTAATTTTAGTACAGAGTCTATAGGGTCTCACTATGCAGCTTAGACTTGTAGTGATCCACACTTGTAGTGTTCAGCCTCCCAAGAGCTGATATTACAGGTATACAGAAGCACCACCACACCCAGTCTCAATCGCTGTCTGGGGGTGGAGCCAGCACGGCATGCTGGGGACAGAACCCCTGCCTCCCAGTCTGCCTAAACAGGTGCTTTAATCTGCTGAGCTATTAGGCCAGCCCTCAATGGTGTTTTGGAAACTCATCAATGTTGATGCATTCAGCTACTGCTGACTCACATTCACAACTGCATGGAATTCCCTTGATAAATGTGCTGCAATTTACACGTCCACTTGTTGATGAAGATTTAGAAGTGTTTCCAGTTTGTTTTGCTTTTATAAATAATATTGCTATGAATATTACTGTAGGCGTGGACATATTTCCATACAGTATGCCTAGAAAAACTTAAAATTTGTACATTATAAAAGGTGGGCTGGCCAGATAGCTCAGCAGATTAAAGTGCTTGCTTAGGCAGACGCAGGGGCCAGGGTTCGAGCCCTCGTGTGCCATGCTGGCCCTGCCCCTGGGGCATGCTGAGGCAGTGACTGAGACTAGGCCTGGTGTTGCACGCCTGTGATCCCAGCTCATGGCAGCCTGAAAACAGGAAAATCACGATGAGTCCAATCTGTGTAGTGAGACCCTGTAGGCCCTATACTAAATTTAAAAAGAAAAAGCCTGAAAACAGGAAAATCACGATGAGTCCAATCTGTGTAGTGAGACCCTGTAGGCCCTACACTAAATTTAAAAAGAAAAAGGAAAGAAAAGAAAGAAAAAAGATAAAAGGCAACTGTTTACAAAGAACTACTGACATATACTTCCATTAGCAAGGTGTGAGAGTCGCTACTGCTTCACATGGTCAGCCAACATTGCTATTATCCAACTTTTTAATTCTTGCCAAACTGATAGATGTAAAATGCAACCTCTGTGAACTGTGATGTTTTCTTTTGTATTCTTTTCTAATTATCCTTAGACACTAAAGCTTAAGACATAGTTTTCAAATTATTTCTATATTTAAAAACAAATCCAGTGGCTTCCAGGTAGGGAAAAATTTCTTATACAAGAACCATAAAAGACAAAAAATGCCACCTTTGAGACTGTTCGTAATTTAAAGCATATGTTCAATGACAGACACTATAGACAAAGCTAGAAAACACAAACTAGGAGAGTATATGCCACACCTGCCAATGAAAAATTAGTAACTGCCATCTAAAACCAAAGCCTAAAGAATGAACAATAAAAATTTGGATCCCAAAACACTGGCAAAAAGGAATAAAGAAAACAGCACCGAACATTGTATAAAAGCTTGTTCAACTTTACTAGCAATCAGAAAAGTACCCGCTGAAAGACATCCATCACTGATATCACCACTTTTCTTTTTGCTAGATGTCTGTGTGGATATGGCGAGACCTGCAGGCACCGCTAGTGGCCATTCAAACTCATCTGGACACTTTCAGGAGCCATCTGGCAGTGTTCAGTACAACGAGGGGTGCGGGGGGGAGGGGGGGGCGCTAAAACACCATGATGGTCTACTTTGGCAGAAGTGTTTTTTTTTTTTTTTTTCCGGAATGCCTTCAAGGCATGACTGGCTGTCTTGTGTTGTGGGGATCGAACCAAAGCAACCGGAGCCTGACTGCTTTGTTGAAGCAGCCACTTAAAGAACTGAGCTACGGGGCAGGCCCCCTGATGGTCTACTTTGGAAGAAACCCTATGTACAGACTCATACAAGAGATGTAACAGGATCTTCTACACAGCCTTGGGTAAGGCAACCAGAGTTCAGCAAAAATGCAAACATGCTTACAGTGGATTGCTATATAGCAGAAAAATTAAACAAACTAGATCTAATTGTAGCATTATGGATAAAAGTAAAAGAAAAAATTGATTTAAAGAAAAATTCAGTTCTCTTCAGGAAAATTAAAATTATCATACTATAGCGATATATGTGCACCAATGTTTATAGCAGCACAATGTGTAATACCTAAATCTTAGAAATATCCCAAATGCCAATTAAGAATGGATTAAAAAAGTGGTATTTTTATATAATAGAATATTACTCAGCCATAAAGGGTAAACTTGAGACTTTTATAGGTAAATGGATGCAACTTGAGGCCATACGCATAAGTGAAATAAATCAGACTCACGTGGAAACATGGACTGTCTCCCTGGTATGAGAAATTGAAAGAGTAAATAGGAGGGACAGCCCTCCTATGATCAGGCCACCTTACTAGAATGTACAATACATATTGTGAAATGGGAAGTAATTGCTTCAAAGGAAAAAGAAACTGGGGGTAGGGGAGAGGAAGGAAGGAAAAGGGAGAAAAATGCAAGGTAACTATACTATTAGTGTCTATTCATTGAAAAGGAAGGTTCACGCAAAGAATTTAATGCCCATATCTTATACTCTGAGTAACTTCTTTGAAGATGACATATGCAATGTATTACATACTGCTGTTCTCTTATTATTGTAAAATTATTTCACCTTTTTTCAACATAAATAGACAAATAAATAAAAGTACAGAAAAAATGAGGTTTATGGCCAAGTGCTAGTCACATAATAAATAAATAAAAGCACACAGAAATTATCACCTACCTTTTCATGGGTGCTTATTTATACTACTCAATATGGACCAGACTAGGTAGAGCAGGGTGGCCTGTATTCATAAGAATGCAGTAGGGCTGGGGAGATAGTTCAAAGGAATAAGCGCTTGCCTGGCAAGTACAAGGTCCTGAGTTCAATCCCTGGTACCACCAAAAACAAAAACAAAAACCCAAGAATGGACCAGGTGTCATGACACTAGCAAAAGACAAAGGTCTAGCAATGCAGGACTTTCCATACATCAAGACAACAGTAAAAGAGCCGGGCATGGTGGTGCAAGTCTGTAATCCCAGGACTTGGGAGACTGAGGCAGGACTGGGTTACAAAGTGAGCTCAAGGCCAGCATGAACTGCATGGTGAATCCCTGTCTCAAAAAGACAAAATAAAGACAAGGGGAAAAAGAAAAAAGAGAAAGGGTGGCCAGAAGTTTGAAACTACTGACTCTCCTCTTTGGTCACTGCTAATGCTCAACAACCCACTGGGGGAAGTGGTTCCAAAGAGCAATTGGCATGGTTTAAAACTGGCTGGATGACAAAGGAATTAATAGACCTGAAGCAAAGAAATGAGACTGGCAGAAAACAAAAGTGAAACTATCAAATCATTCTGTTGGAAAGAGAAACTATTCTCTTCCCCCAAATGGTAAATTTCCTATGACATGTTTAGTGTTGTGGATTTACTCTGGAAGCCAGGGGGATGTGTATATGCATTATCTTTGGTCTACCAAGGGCCTTCTAATTTCTAATATATCCTTCATGCACAGCACTCAACCTACCAGAATTCTCTCTTGGAATATAGATAATTTGGTCTGCTCATCACTCCATCACCTTTGGCTTCCAGAGAAAGGCAGAATTTTTGAGGTTGGATAAGCCTGATACCTCACAACTTGTTTGTGGGAGGACTAATGTTCCCCAGACAACCAAGGCAGCACTGACAAGACAGCCCTCCTATTATCAGGCCAAGCGTGGCATTCGATAGCCTTCTGGGCCCTGAGATCAAATATCAAGTACTGCAGAAGCCATGACTGGAAAGTAGCCAAAGTACACAGTCCTCTAGAGTACTTTCCTCAGATGAAAACTCTAATGCCTTACAGGGGCTGCGATTCACCCAAAGTCATAGTTGCCGAAGGTTGTAGACAAATTAGATGCAGAGCTAAGTTTGAAATTCAGAGCTCCTGGCTACCCAGGTTATGGCTGGCAAAGACTGTTTCCACCCATGTCCACCAGACTGACCCCAAGAAAGTAATTTTCTTAGGCAAAATCCCAAGGCTAGAAGAATTCTTTAACTGACATGAATTGACCTCCATGTCTCTGAGCTAAAACACATCCAAAGAAACTCCAAAAGGTCATTTGGGGCATTTTCTCTTTCTATATAATCTGTCTTCAAGAAAGAAATTCAAATGTTGATTTTTATTAAGGTCAACAGATGTTGCTCTTCTAGCCAATTTTCACACATAATTCTGCTGTGTCAGTGTACAAAAGTCAAAAGAGAAAGTAGACAAACTACTTTCTATTACAACTGTTCACATGTTATATAGTCAAGTACACACTCTTGGGACCCTTGTTTCCCTCTTATCACCCAGAAGGGTAGGGAGCAGGAGGTGGCTGCAGAATACAAACATCCTCCAAGCTTAGAAAACTCTTGGTCTGCTGGCCCCCTGCTGGAAAACTAACCTTCTCTTAAATAAACAGGAAAGATGCCACTCCAAAGGACTTCTACTGTGAATGACAGCAGACTCAGCAGAAGTGAGAGCAACCCAAGCCCATAGCCTCTTCAGGAGAAAAAGCTGAGAAAAGGCCAAATGCAGCACACTCTAGCCTACAATGCAAACACCTGTCTCCTCTGAGGTATGCAAGATTTAGCACTGAGGTGGACAGAGACAGTGGGCAATGCCTTCCCAAAATCCTATTCCCCAGGCTCCTTGGCCTCTAAAGATGTCTAGAGTCAGCATCATTTCCTGATCTTGACAAGGGGTACCATAAGCAGAAAGACCTTTGGGAATGTGTCAGAGACTTGTTTATTTATTTTTACAAATCAGTCTTAAAAGGAGGAGGGTGGGGAAATGGCTCAGTGGAATAAGTGCTTCCCTGGCAAGAGCAAGGGCCTGAGTTCAGTCTCCCGTTCTGAAAAAAAAAAAAAAAAAAA